ATATGTAAATATATTTAAATAGGCATGCATAGTTTAGTTCAATTGAATGTGTTATTTATAACAATAGTATTTTTTTTTCTTTTAAAGAATAACTATTTATAATGCTCCCTAAATAATAATAATAAAAAATTACAGTGAAAGCAATGAAGATTTTGTAGGTTTTAAACCAACACAATATTATAGTAAACCTTTTTTTATTTATTTACGGTATTTTTCTTATTTTGAGCTCTTTTGTGTTTAGAACAAGATATGCTAATTTTTAAAGTATCAAATTGAATTTTTGTTCAATAAAAATTTTTCAAATGCGACTGTAGCTTTCCCCCCCCCCCAAAAAAAACTTTGTTTTCAAAATAAGGGTGTGTCTTATATTCCGAAAAATACGGTATTTCTTCCATTACAATGTGCAAGTTCTAAAGACTCCTAACTTACATATTAAACTAAACAGTCACTTACTTGTTCAATTTATTCTCGTATCTAAAACATTTCTCAAAACTGGTTAGCCAACACACTCAGTAAAAAATTCACTGACTAACTCAATATAGTATTTTCATACAAAACTTGTTTTTCCCCAAATATGACGAAAACTCGAGACGTCACGCCAAATCTAGACACTCAGGAAATTTCTAGGCCTCACACGTCAGTAACATTCTTTGACTTTGACTGAGTTTTAAACAAAGAAGGAAATAGGGTACAATTTGTCCAATATCTATTCACTCAAACATCAATCAGTGTTAAAAACGATTATATAGTGCAGCTACTCCTTTATTTGAAAGGCCCGGCATGGTCAGGAGGTTAGGGCACTTGACTTGTAATCTGAGGGTCGCCCTTTCAGCCGTGGGGGTGTTATAATTATCGTAAAGGCCACCAACGATGTCAAATTATTAGGATTAATAATTCTTTCTTTGATTTATTAATAACAAATAAAAAATGCTGTATTTGTTGTAAGTTTTGAGATGTTTCAAAAAACGTTATTTTTATGCTGTTGCAATATTTTATCATACTTCTATGGTATATTTATTTATTTGTTCAACAGACAGTATTTGTAAAATGCGATGCTTTGAACCCGGGATCGAATCTGTACCATACCACAAAATATTCCCACACTTTAAGCTTTGAGTGTGTTATAAGAGTGACACCCAATCCTTTAGAATAGATGGTAGGGCACTGCCCTCCCTTTGGTAAATTGTTCAAAATTAGAAACAGAGGCAGATAACTTTAGTAGTTTTACTACAGATACAAATAAAAAAGTTTTGGCTCAGTTTTAGATTTTACGTAGCTGTTACTAACTTTAATTGTTTAAGGAACTTTGAATTTAGACTGTGAATGAAAGAACTGTGTTCAGCCAACCACATGACAGATTAGAAAATACTTTAGGGTATCAACTTTATCGTCTGTCACAACGGCTATGCCAACTTCAAGGCTTCTGTGCTTGAAAGGTTATTCCATGAATAAACCGAAAAAAAAACTTTATGAATTTTGCTCATCCTTCTGGGGTTGTAGAGCTAAGTATAAGTTTTATTTGATGTTTTTACAAGTTACGTAAACTGATCTACCATTTCGAATTCTTCGTTAGTAGTATTCACCATAAAAATAAATAAAAAGTAATATCCTTTTACTGACAAGTTACCCATCAGCCCTTAAATTATAGGACGAGTTATCCCCGTCAGCAGTGAATAATAAAGTGTATATATAAGTAAAATTCGTAAGTCATAACTTTTGAATATCTAAAATACTCAATAAATAAATACTCATGTATATTAAACCAGATTTACAAGTTTTAAAAAAGGGGGGGGGGCAGGCTCTCGAAATCTACTCACAGCTTCATGTTCTCACAATCATATTTTTAAGTTGTTAACAAAGAAATGCGTTCCTCCTCAATTCGAGTACTGGTTACGAGAGTTAAATTTCATCTTTTGGAAAAAAATGTGTTAGACGAATGACAATCCGCCCCTCCTCCCAGTGGCACAGTGGTATGTCTGCGGACTTACAATACTAGATACCGGGTTTCGTAGCTTTGTGCTTAATTACAAACAAACAATAACAATCGCCCTCTTGTGGATACCTATTTCAAATTATATAATTGAAAAATGATTTGATTTGTTATATAAAAGATAAATCACAACTATTTCGTTATATCAAAATATATTTTTTAAGGTCTGATATAAGAGACTTTGGTATTGTGGAAACGGGAATGATAGTGAACCTGCAACAAATTCATTGAAGTTCGCTATGTATTAATAAAATCGTATTCAAATTAAAGGGAAAACTGTACTGTATCAAACTCGAACGATCGTAACTTATTTAGAAATCCTATTTCTCAAAACATATACATTCAAGAGAAATAAATATCATAAACGGTTACAACCATTATAAAATTTGATTAGTATTTTCGGGGGAAGTAGTTTTGTGAATACTGAGCGCTTTTCTTAAATTCCGATAGCTTGTGTTTTGAAGTGTGAAAAATGTCTTTGGTAAGTAATACAAATATATAACTACGGAAAATTTCATCTAATATTAATGAACCAAATGTGACATTCGTGCTAGTCACACTTCCCATTTTACTGTCATGTTTTGTTTTAGCTACATAAAATTACAAGAATAATTAAAAACTTTTTTTTTTTTTTACAAAATTGATCCAGTTAAGTCTTTTTCATTGTGCCAATATTTAACCTTGTGAACACTAGAGGGCAGCACAGTACACTCACAATACTATCAATCATTAGAAATCGAACTTTGAATCCTCACAGAGAGATGAAAACCATTGAAAAATACTCGTTCACATTTTATATAACGGTTAGAAATTATTTATTTTTCCATAGATTAACTTGCTGCCAGAAAAACTACTTTGTCATCAAGTTGAAATGGCAAGAAAACAATTCTTACAATTTAGTGATAATAACCTTTATTTGTTAAAGCATTCCAGAAATTGGCTTATACATCAATATTTGTACAAAGTTTCCTATTGAGTTCACTGCCACTTTTGCAAGCCTTTCGCTTAATTTGAAATCAAACAAGCAACTGTTATGTTGTAAATACTTGGCGGCAGTTTGCTTTTGAATCAAATGCACAACTCATCCTTATTAGAAAAGGATAACAACTAGATAACAAACAGCTGCAAGAAATAGTCTCATATATGTTGGTCCCAACAATTATAATGCTAGGAAATGTACTGTTAAGTAGACATAAACTTTCATAAGAACAAAAAACCTTAAACAGTTGGCAGTGCAGAGTTATATCAACATACTATAAGTACAGAGTGATGCAAAAGTTGCTCACTCACACCTTTAAGTACTGTTAAAAGCCCAAATAAATATCTCATGCTGAACACAAAGGACTGGAAATGCTGTAGAGATTTGTTATCAAACTAAATTTAAAAAAAGTAAAACTTTACAACTATAAATATGAACAGAAAACAAACTGCTATAATTTCATCGAATCACATGATTAGGTGCAAAGATTTTAGAATTTTCGTGAAGAGTCATCCCACTGTGGGTCAAAAGCTGTATAAAAAGCAAGAACAATGAAATACATTCTTATTTATGTTAATCATTTGCTATGCCTAGATGGTGTTAAGGCACCTATCTTGTGCTACAAGAGAATAAGATTCAGCTCTTGTCACCAGCTTTTTTTGAGTTTGGTTTTTGCAGAGTAAGGTATCAAAAGGGACCTTACAATCTAAACCGAAGAAAGTGCAGAGTGAAATCTAGCTAGGAATAAACATGAAAAAAACACCATTACAAATTGTCATATAATGTAAAGCTCAAGTAATTAAAACAAATTAACTCCTCTTTGCATAATTAGTTTCAGTACTATGTAAAATAATTATTATGTTAAATTTTTACATCAAAAACATACATTAAAAAAATCTCCAAAAGTAACATGGAGAAGTGCAAAAAAGTCAAATATTGAGAAGATACATCCACAAAAACGTTTACTAGACCTGATTATTTAACATATCGATTACCAACTTTACAACAATATGGTTCATCCTATATTGAAATAAAAATGAATGGTTGCATGTCAAAGGGAGCTGAAAGTGATGGAGACGACAAAAAAATTTACTGCAAAAGGAAAAATAAAACACTCACACATATATATATATATTTCCTTTTAATCTCATAATTAAACTAAAAATTATGGTTGCTCTACTGATGATGACTACTGATTTCTGCTTGAGCAAACCTGCCAAAGCTTTTTGAGGTTTATTTCTGCTCAAATTCAAGTGAACTAAACACTGTTATAGAAATTGATAATATCCAACATGCCCATAGTTGATGTCTGGGTAACATCACCAGCAGAGGCCTGGTAAGCAAATTTGTCTTAAAATGGGTAGAAATTTGAAACTTGGAGACCAGCAACTTGAATAACTGATTCCTTTTGTAGTAATTTTATTTACCAATTCACAAAAATGAAATGTTTTTTTTTAAATCATAACTTTTGCTAACCAGAACAACTACTGCTCAACATTATTACCAAAATACATTAATTTGACGAATTGTTCCACCATATATATATAGATATAAGTACAACAGTATATTAAAGATCATGATTTTTCCCATTCATGCTGACACCATTGCTGCTGTTTTCATGTCTCTTGTGCAGGCCATTCTTCTGAATGTTGCCATTTCGATGAATGCCATTTTCTTTAATCAAGCCATTTACAATGCCATTTGCTTTGCCATTTGCCATATGCTTGGTTCCATTAGAAAGAGTAGTTTCCATTTTCTTAGGTTTTCCATAGGCATTTTTATAGAAGTCCCAGAAAAGGAACCAGAAGAGAACAGCATGGAAGCCAATCCACCACATAAAACCCTTTGGATAGTCACAGTCACGGAACAGGAGTTGGAAAGAATGTACAAAAATCATGATGAACTGAACCTAAATCATAATAAGAATAAGAATAATGAAACAGCAAAGTACTACACAATGAAATCAAAATTATTTGAAATGGTAAGAAAAAAAAAAATGGAATAAAAACATGAAGAATCAATGAACATGCTAACCACTCCTCTCGAATGCATCAACACTTCGAAGATAGAAGAAATAACCAACTAAACATAGTGTCTCTAGTTTGTGTAAATAAATTAAATCCAACAAACATAAAACTGGAAAAACTATTTTTATTAATACAACCCTAACCAAAGTCTTAGTATGTGATTTGTGCTTGTTTGAATTTTCTTTGATTCTAGGGTCACGGTGCTCTTAGTCAACAAGTAAATTACTCGATGATGTCACATTCATGTAGTGACACAGTATAGAAGTAGTTTTTTTATTATTTTATCCTCTTATGGAAAGAGAGAAAGAAAAAAAATGCTAAACTAGATTTATGTACTCCTTATAGCACAAAATGCTGTTTTGGTTGTATAATATTAATATAGCAAAATAAAAAACTACAAATACAACCAAGGTAAATTTACATATAAAAGTATAACTTTACATATCTACCATATTGCCCCTAATAAACACCCCCATGGGTGTTGCAAACTGCAAAAGGGGAGGGTGCTAATTAAAGATTATTTGGGTCATATGATAATACCTGTATTATAAATAGATATATTTAATATAAATGGTAACAAACATAGCCTATTTATTTGTAACACTGCTACAAACATTAGTGCTTACTATTGCAGTAAATATGGTAAGTGTCCAAAAATTCTGTGAAGCAGTACCAGAGCGACCAGGGGGAGGGGAGTAATTAGAGAGGAGACATAAGTTTGAGATTAAATCTTTATTTCAGTGGTGATAACACTAATTCTACATTAAAGTTGCTCTTCGGCAACAATGACCCAATTTTTTAATCTTATTGGACAACAGTCTAATAAGGTCAAACCTGTATTACCTTTTCTTTCAACCTATTGATAAAGTGAGAAGTTTGATAGAAAGCTGTGTTAGTCAAATAATTATAAAACTGGGTCACTGTTAGCTGAAGAATAACTTTAATATTACAAAAGTGCTACCACTAGGATAGAATAAAAACTTTGAATTTTGTGCTCTCTTTATTTTATCATCTTACTTACAAGCTTATGTGAACTTCAAAACAAACTCTGTAAATAATGTGTGTGTGTGTATATACATATATATATTCAAAGCACCATCAGGTTTGAAATATCCTGTCTATTTATTTATATTTTTGTTTTTGATAGGTTGGTAGCACTTTCTCAGCTTTAGCACTGTTCTTAAGCCAACCTAATTACAACATTAAATACATAGTTTTTATCAATATATATATAAAAACACACATCCCAGTAAAAATATTCTAAAAATAATATAAGTAAAGATTATATATTATACAAAGTCCATTAAGATGCTCAGTACAACATTTTTACAATTGTATCTTACGTACCCATGACAAGAACATTTTTTTCCCTTCGAAATTGAAAAAAAACAAAGATGTTGTATTAAATACAAACATAGAAATAATAAAGTACTGGACAGATGTTTTGTAACTCTGGGTAGTTTAAGTCTAAAGGATGCTATGGAAATGTAAAAGATTATGTGGGTATATCAATTTCAACCATTACTCCTGAATACTGTGCCATAGAACACCAAAACACATGTTGAGTCCTTTTAAGTCCATGTTTTAATAACTATTTATTGTGTAATGATTTTAATGTTATATTCCTTTTAATTGTTTACACAAGTGTTGTTTTAAATTATTTATTTATTATACACGAAAAGATTATACCCTTATGTACATGTATATACGAGTTACAAATCCATTAAAAATGTATCAATACGTTACTCTCACTCTATGGTTTTAAGTCAGTTTAATTATTCTTTTCAACTAATCTTTATTAATAATCAAATGTTAAGTTGTCTGTCAACTGAACATGATTTTTATACATAATATACACACCAAGTATGATGAATTTTAAACTTTACTTGAAAGCAGAAACTAGATGTATGAACTCACCATCTGAATTCCAGTCATGTATTTCTTCCACCACAAGTACTTGTACATATGTGGACCAATGGCAGCTAAACCATAGTAGATGTACATAAGAATGTGTACTAAGCTGTTCACAAATGCAAAGAATGTGCTGTGGCCACCTGGTGAGAAAAAACAAATAAAAATATTTTACTTAGAATTGTTCAACTGTAATTTCTTTTCAGACACATTGTGCTACTATATAAAGAGTAAAAAAAACAAAAACTAATCTTCTTTGGCACAATGAAAGGTAAATTTTTTATTTTTAGTTACAGCTGACAACTTTTGGTAACACTGTTACCATCATCAGTATACTAGCCCTAATGATGTTAAAGTGTTACCAAACTAGTCAGTTGCAACTTATAATTTTACCTGTCATTGTGCCCAAAAACGTCAGTTTTTGTGTTTTGTACTTTTAATATGGTTTAACTGTATTTCAAACAGAATACAAATATTGATTTTGTCCCGTACTTGAATGATTAAAGAAATCTCCATGTTGATATTTACCTTTAAAAGAGAATGTTTATTATATATTTATCTTTAGATTACTGTAGTAATTACGTGTAACTAAACTTTTAATTTATTAGCTCTTTCTTATTCTATAGTGATCTTTAGCTCCTTTACGCTTTACAAAGTTCTCTCCTAATGCAATAAATATTATTTGATCATACATTTTTTTTGCAGTTTACAATGGCAGTGGTTCCCAACCTTTTATATGTTTTTTTTGTATCCCCATCAGACTTGTCATATAATAAAAAAATAGCTTAAGAGTGGTTTATATTAATAAAAAGATCAATTAAAAGAAACAATTCAAGGATCATTCAAGAATAGGTAAATACTGAGTGCTGGCTAGTGGAATACATTGGTAATTTACCAATAATGAAAAGTGAGGTTTATTTTATTTTTAATATTTTTTCAAAGGTTTTTCACACACTTCCAGTAAAGTCTTCATGTACCCTGATACTAGTTGTTTGGAACCACTGTAGTATGGCAATGAATACTACTCTTTAGGTCTCCTATCAAGCTGTACAAAGTCCAAGTGTTTAGATTAATTTGTAGTAATATAGATCCTTCATGTATGATGGTACTACAGGTTTGGATCCACTGTACTGTGACAATGAATACCACTCTTTAGATCTACTGTCAAACTGTACAAAGTCCCAGTGTTTAGACTATTTTGTTGTAATACAGATCCTTCACAAACCCTGGTACTACAAGTTTGGAATGATTGTACTATGGCAAGGAATATTACTCTTTTGATCTAGTTCTCCTATCAAACTGTACAAAGTCCAAGTGTTTAGATTACTATGTAGTAATACAGATCCTTCACTGTACCCTGGTACTACAGGTTTGGATCCACTGTACTGTGACAATGAATACCACTCTTTAGGTCTCCTATCAAACTGTACAAAGTCCAAGTGTTTAGATTACTATGTAGTAATACAGATCCTTTACGTACCCTGGTACTACAAGTTTGGAATGACTGTACTATGGCAAGGAATATTACTCTTTAAATCTAGATCTCCTATCAAACTGTACAAAGTTTAAGTGTTTAGATTACTATGTAGTAATACAGATCCTTCATGTACCCTCCTGGTACTACAGGTTTGGAACCACTGTACTATGACAATAAATACCACTTTTTAAATCTCCTATCAAACTGTACAAAGCCCAAGTGTTTAGACTACCTTGTAGTAATACAGATCCTTCACATACACACACACACATGCATGCATATATATACAGGTATTGGCCAAAAAAAAAAAGAAACACCAATGTAAAGTCACTTAATAGTGTGTTGGGCCACCATGTGCAGCCAGTAAGGACTGTATACGCTGTGGCATAGAGTCTACCAGTGTCTGGAATTCTGCAGGAATAACAATATAAACAATCCAATAGCAATGTCAGAGAGAATTACCTACATTTTTTTGAAGAATAGAATGGCATGGGAGGGGCATAACATGTGGGCTAGACATTTTTATATATATATCAATGAAGATAGAATATTGAAGGTTCTAGGTTTTTATACTTGCTTGTCAGTATCCATGGTATGTGTTTCTAATTAGTTGTACACTCAGAATATCATGTAAAATCATCTAATACGTGCAATTTGGAGTGCATATTCATCATGTGACAAGAGAAGTTGAGATTTAGAAGTAACCTCATAAAGTGGTGTAAAGGTAATAAAAGAAGATGGCTTAACTAGGAGGAGTTTAATTCAGATATAGAGCTAAATTAAATGAGGATGTATACCACCAGGTGAAACTTGACTTGGTTAGTAAATGTGAAATGAAAATAGTAGCTATAATGTAGTTCTGTAATTGTGTTTGAAGATAGATCAATCACAAAATAATAATCTTACTTGGAATAATAAAATTATGTGGAATTGTAAAGGAAGTGCTATTAACAGTCCAACAAAGAAAGTGCTATTAACAGTCAAACAAAGGAAGTGCTATTAACAGTCCAACAAAGGAAGTGCTATTAACAGTCCAACAAAGGAAGTGCTATTAACAGTCCAACAAAGGAAGTGCTATTAACAGTCCAACAAAGGAAGTGCTATTAACAGTCCAACAAAGGAAGTGCTATTAACAGTCCAACAAAGGAAGTGCTATTAACAGTCCAACAAAGGAAGTGCTATTAACAGTCCAACAAAGAAAGTGCTATTAACAGTCCAACAAAGAAAGTGCTATTAACAGTCCAACAAAGAAAGTGCTATTAACAGTCCAACAAAGAAAGTGCTATTAACAGTCCAACAAAGGAAGTGCTATTAACAGTCCAACAAAGGAAGTGCTATTAACAGTCCAACAACAAGCACGTGTACAGAACATTGACATGGAGAAAGAAAACAGTC